GTGTGCAACATCATCTCCAGTCATCATCATCAGCTTCATTTCAATTACAAAAACTTGCTAACAAGCAGAGGTAATATGAAAGGAGTAGACAACATATGTTCACATGAGCAATTTCTAAGAATTTTACCTAGCACTATGGAGATCTACAAAAGAAGTTTTTTGTTTGAAAATCTGCCTACAACTCTATCAGATGTACTCTTCCATACCACCTCTGGTAGATTTGTTCAATTCCTCGCACCGCACCTTTTCTCTGGAATTACAAATACTCTCACTAATCATCACCAGCAGCAACCTCCCCACTTTAATTTAGAGCTGTTCTCAGAGCCCCACTCTGAATAAATAATCCCATCTCAATTAAGTCTGGCTGAACTTTGGCTTGTAAGTAACTTTTTTTTTTTTAGATATAAAAAAACACTTCACAACTGTACACTCACTGATATAAATATCTCAAACTAGTACCACCCCATTCTGGTATCCCCAGGACTCAAACATCACAGTACACCTAAGTGCCAATACTGCTACATACTATTTGCTAAAAATTCTGCTAACATGTCACAAGGATCCCCCAGACCAAGTTATTGCTTAGCAAGAAATTAAACTCTGGTTAACTATGCATTAAACATTAATTGCGCATTCATTTTAGTTGCTTCACAGAATATTCTTACGGTTAACCAGATAGTCACATAAGTAGGCATTACTGTGCCACCAGCTTATTTAGCTAAAAAACCAGAAAGTATTTAAGCAGCTTTCCTTAGCGTAAGCTAAAGGACACAGACATCTCAATATCTCGCATGCGATGCAGTATTTCAGTGTTGATGGCATATAGTTTAAAAAAAAATTTGCTGGTCCCTGAATGTAAACAACTCTGACCAAAGAAAATAATAGCTAGAAATAAGATCATGCAAAAAGGAAGTCAGTTCTTCAGCCCTGATTTTCCTATTCTCTTCCTGGTCAACAGACAGATTGATCTCACAGAGAGAGCAAACATTACACAGGATGACAAAGACTCTCATGATGGTTTCATCAGTTGTAAATACCACCTGTAAATACCATATTGTCCCTTTTCTTTGGTAAGTCTTCAATATAATTATCATCAGTTAGGGGTATCCCAATACTGGATAGACTACTGTCAAAGGCAAACAGCTCCTGGTAGCTCATGGCTTGGCTCAAAATACCTTGGCTCAAAGAGGTATATTGTTTTGGTAGCATTCATGAACACAAGCATGATGGTTCCTCGTTTACAGAATGCTCATCAAACAGACTAGCTATCCTCCACTGTATAACAATGTGCTAATGTTTTTCATATTGTTGAGTGTTACTTGCATCAAACAGGTGTCACTACCAACAAGTGAGGAGTAGGCTAAGAGTAGCAGTTAGTTTCCCATTTATACCTCTTCCTCAACAGTTTGAATTTGACTCTGTGGATGACAAGCTCTGCCCAAAGTTGAGATAAACGTTAGTCTCTACGTCTAATATTCTGGGGAGTTTCCCATGGGTTTACTAGGAGGTCTGCAAGATGATGAGGCTTTAACTCCCTTCTCAGACCACCATATAAACACCTAGTTAGACAAACTGTTCTTTACCAGTTATCCAATTAAGAGGAAGGTGATCAGATTCCGAATTTACCCACTTGATTCTAAAACGCGTATTGTTATTGAGATACTAAGACTGAAGAAGTGTGTATCATAATGGTCTGATTCACCCTCAACTTTAGTTAGGGTTCTGTCAAAATGTTTTGAATGTTACACGGAAGACAGCTTCCTGAAAGTACGCCCAGAGGAAAAACACAGAACGATTTTAATTCCTAACTTAGATTTAGATGTCCTTTGTGCTTTAAAGCTACCAGATCTGTTTCAGGCCTTATCCCATACTACTTGTATTATACATTACATGCCATGCAGCAACAGAATTTTGAAAGATGAAATGATAATCTAAACGTGATGGCTACAATAACAGATTTTACAGTCAGAATGCTATAGTTTTAATAACGTTGAAACTTAATGCTAAGATAAATAAATAAACAGTAGTAGGTAGTTCACCGAAGACAATGACGAAAAGAGGCTGAATAAGCTGGATAATATAACAGAATTGTCATATAATGAGCTGAAATACTAGAAAACTGTAATAGTTAAGTGAGTGCCTGAAAATTGTGGTGACTGAGACAGCTGATTTCATGGTACATATTTACATTCCTTATTCAAGGTTTTTAAAGGGATACAAAGCACATACAATAAACAGTAAGAAAATTCCCAGTATTTTACAGCTTCTGTTCAGTTTTACATCGAGTAGCTGCAGTGTATCAGAAAATAAGTCTATGTAGCCTGGTAATACTGTCCTCAACTATGGACAAAAATGTGTATTTTGATCAAGAAAAATGTCTGCGAACATTGTATTTCTTCTTCTCCTGCTAGTATTTAACTATTACCAATTTTCAGCACATCTAATTTTATGAGTCCAAACACAAAACAAGAAAAATCACTTCAAGTACATCCCATGAGCAGCAATGAACTAACTGAAGAAGAGTTGAGATTTTCTTGTTTGATCACTAAAAAAAGATTTTATTTAAAAAAAAAAACACACAAGAAAACAAAATATAACCAAAAATACACCTGCATACTGCATAGGTGTTTCCTTGCTATTCCCAATATTTCTGATTTTTTTTTATAAAACCAGTTTCCACAGATACACAGATAAAGCTGAGCTACAGTTCTGGAAGAAGAAATTATACTCCTCAAGGTTTAAAAAAAGTGAATAATCAAAGGAGTTTTCTGTTGGCTTGCTTTCTGGTAAGGAGATTAAAGGCCATTATTTTGAAAATAATACTTAAGAAATATTCAAACTAAGAAAAAGTTGGCATACATTTAGTATTGCGACTTAGCCTTGCAGTAGAAGATGGAAGCATAATTAAGTGACCCTCTCCATTCAACCTCAAAACATTCAATTGAGTTAATTGAGTTCATATAGCTTTAAAATTAGAAACAGTAATAATATCAGCAACTTGAAGCAAAATGAAAACATTTCTATTTGGTCATCAATTTCCTTCAAGGTTTAACATTGACAGCAATTTAATCCAAAATATTGATTTTTTAATTTCATTGGAGGTAAATGAAGCATATTCTCACACAGAATTCACAACTGTATAGTACCAAAGAAGAAACAAATACTACATCCTAACATCACAGTGATCTACTCTGAGGTAGAAACAGCAGATTCTTTACCAATATAGCCTTCCACAAATACTATCATTAAGTACTTTATCAGCATTTGTAAGCAGCTATTTGCAAAAAGCTATTGCTTTTTTTTATTATTATTATTGCTTATATCAGTAAGCAAAATGGAAATAACTGCACCTGACTGGTAAATTGGGCATTAGTTACACTTCTGATCACAAGATTTGCCGGGGGCTTAATTTAACCAGAATTCAGGCCAGTCAACATTCCACATAATCCTGAAGCTTTCAAACATGTTTGCTTATATAGATTATGATACCAGTGGAAACTATGATGAGTCAACTTGTTTTCAATAAAGCAGAGCTAACTGTTATATTCACTTAAATACAATGATGGACAACACAAGTATTCCTTTTTTATTCGTGGATGTTCTGGTTATGTTAGAAAATTTCTTTGTTATATAGAACTGTAAATTCAGACGTTGGAATTTTTCATTCCATCTTATTATGTGAATTTATTATTTTGCAGTACAATTTTGATAAATTATTTGGAATGTGGAGAAAGTCAGAGTCTTGACAACTCTACGGTCTTGGAAGAGTGGTATTTTTAAAGCTATGCCTTTATTTTAAAGATGTGAAATATGGCCTTTTCATTTTCCTAAACAGATTTAAAAAAAAAACAACAACCCTATTCATCTGGGGAGTAACCTGTTGCTTTGAACTCCCAAAATTGTACTAATCAACATTTTAAGAGTGGAAATAGGAGTTTTATTTGAATACTTATTTATGGAAAAAATTATAGTAGGATGGAAGCACAAGTGTATTAACCAAGATGATGACAAATAGTAAAAAAAAAAAAAAAAAAAAAAGACACATCACATGAGTGATCCTGGGGCAATGTAGATCCTTCACTAGTATTATCACTTAATGTAGTTATGCATTAAAAAAAGGTTTTTAAGTAATTTGTGCCTATGCTTAAATTAACATTTTATTGTTAATTAACAGATTATTAAGCACAGCTAAAAACATCTCCAACCAAACAAGTTTACATCAAGTACTTCCTTTAACAAGATGACTGAGTGGCATAGCTGGTTAAAGCACTGTGCTTTTCTTTATAGAACAAAGATGTTGATAACAAATCAAGCGCAAAGATTAAGCACATATGATGAACTTACCCTGAACAGCTTTGATTATGGTCAGTAGTTTTAAATTAGCCCATTATTTACCGTGTCTAATATTCTAAATTTGCAAAAAGCGAAGGTGCTGCAAAGCAAGATAGCAAACTGCTTGTGAATCAGCAGAGAATAACAGTTTTCCCCTATCGATATGAATAGAATTGCAGCTTCATACAGATACTGTGCTTTACATATTGAATATGAAAGAGGGAGGAAAGAGAGCAGTAAGAAGCATGTAATAAGCATAACAGTTCATGACTGTTGCTCTTTATCCACACTTTAGAAAAAGTCATCATAATAGATAACTTTACATCTTCAACCAGAAAAAAAAAATAAAGAAGTTCAGAGTTTGAGCACTTCTATGGCACAGCATGAAATACACCTTTTCTGTGAGAGGCATAATGACGGCTGCCTGTCTTTACAGGATTGTGAGAGAAGAATCAAATGTCCACATTGTTACCATGCTGGTAATGGGAAAAAAAAAACAAAAAACAACCTACTAGAATTAAATCTGTAACTTCATTTAAACAAAATTCTTGTAATTCAAATTATTCTTTGTAAGCAGAAAGACACACTGGTCATTCCTCTTCCTTAAAACTTTGAGTATAAATGTACTTGCATTTTAAGATTTATTTTCATTTTTAAAAGATACTTACTGTTCTAAGAGTTGGTCATACTTTCTTAAAGCGTCTCTTTCAGCAGTAACAGCTCTCTCTTTTTCAGCAACAGCATTATCTCTTGCTTCTCTCAAATTTCTGAAGGAAACAGAAGCAATTGTGTCAATATTTGGTTAGACTATTTCATTTTATAGATTACTAATGACTGAGCTTAACTTTAATACTACCTAATTCAATTTTAATAGAGCAATAGATAGACATCTGTCTATATGCCTATTCATTATATTTCATTCTTATCAACAAAATTTCTCATTCTAAAATTCTAAAAACAATGATCAAAGTTCCTATTTTTATGCAGAAATCCATGAATAATTCAGAATACAAGAACTACAAATTAGTTTTTTTGTTTTGTTCTGTTTTTTTCCTGAGAATTAAATGCATTGCAGTAATTGGAATGTATTTATACATGTATATATGAATTTGCATTTACACTTGGTACTTCACTAAATCTATGTTGTCCTCCTAGGTGACATGATTCAAAACTTTTGTGATACAGCAGGAAGATTAGCTGAACATAGAAACCCTACTTGCATACACAACTAATTGGATAGTCAGTCATATAGGTCATTACAAATTGTTGGTGTTTCTGTCTGCCTTTTGCTGTTGTTGAAACTTGCAAACTAGCTCACTTCTACTTCATCTATACATACCAGAACAGTATCACAAGAACTAAGAATAATAAATATAACTCTTATGTTAAAAATGATATAGGTATTAACAGTAGTATTACAGTTTATTGCCACTTTATAAATGGCACTTAGTGCTTATAAGCTGTATGTTTATTATTAAGTATTGTGATACAGCAATAACCACAGAACAGTTTTGCTGAAGGTCTGATCTATATTATGAACATTTTCAAGGATTTTACTTGAAGATATCTACAGTTTGCTCCAGTGATGTGAACACCTTCTGGCATTTTGAATGTATTAGATGTCCTTAGAGATTCCTTTCAGTTTGGCTTCATAAAAAAGGAATCCTGTTTATGGATGAGAGAACGATAACAAAATCTACCTTAAAAATAGAATTATTAGGTTGCAAAATTTACCAGTGAAATTCAGCAATTCATCTTGAGAGTACACTATTTAAACTGGTTCTTGACAAATTGTAAGAATATGGCAGTTAATTCTCTTAACAGCAGTGAGGTTGACCATGTTAAGTTTTAGAGCAAAAGCACAAAGTTGCAATCTTAAGACTAAAGGAAGAGAACTGGATGATAATTAAATGGTAGATGTACAGTCACTTGTTTAGAGAATACACTATTTTGCTTAACCGTTAATTTAAGCAAATGAAAATTATACAGAGAAAAACCAGCATGAGTGAAGTACTACTAAGCAACATGATGGCAATCACAGATGTGATGCAACTTCTGTTGAAATATTTGCAACAGAGCTAGGAAACACATTAGTGACACTGCCAGTTTACAGATCATGAGCATGTTTTTAAAAAAGGTAAAACATCTGATTGCTATACATACAGGCCACATTGAACATCATGTATATGGCAAGCCTATCATACAAGTGAAAATCTCTAAAACTGGACAGGACTACTACCAAATATTCATGAACAGGTCTGGTAAATGAGAAGAAAGAGGTTTTGAATCTTCTGAAGCAAAGTTGGGCTGGTTTGAGCTGACGAGGCTCAAGAGGGCTGAATGTCTTTTAGTGTTCAGAGTGTTCAGAGTGCATTGTTTGGATTCTCAAAAAGGAACTCAGCTAGCAAACATTGAGATGATTTCGACACAAGCTGGTTAACTGGAGACAACCAGGAAACTTGGTTCAAACTAACAATTGTCATTGTATTGCACTTCTCACCCCAAAACTATGCTAGAGTGCATAAATTGGATTCTAGTCAGACTGAAGATCTGCTCACAGAGGGCATCTAACATGCTCAAAATCATTTAACTGTGTTTGACCTAGAGGAACAGACTATAGCTAATCCAGAGTAAAACCTTACGTGGCTAATCCAGGGCTCTGTGAATTCATTCGTGCTTGCTAATGCAAACATCACCAATGATGACTGCAACTGAATAAATGAAACTGATCCCAAGTAAGTTAAGGCTCTAAGTATCATTTTTTAATAGGATTCCCCTCCTCCTTACCCCTTATTTTAGCTTCTTAAACTGACTCATCCAAGTGTAAAACAACTATCAATAAATTCAAGGGAAACATCAGTTCTGTCAGGCTCAGCAAGTAGAAAGGAGTAAGAAGAGCAAAGTATTATATTAGCTCCATGCTTTCAGCTTGAAGATAAAACTAGCATCTTATTTTCAGTCACAGTCAATCAGCATCTCATCACATCACACAACTTCACTACAAATTGCTTTGCTTCCCATTTAGGCTTCCATCTGTCCCACTACTGAAGGGAACTTCAGACAGAAAAGCACCATCTTATGGTAGAATTTTTAATTATTTTATAGAAAGGTCACAAACCAAAAATCATTTTTCCTGCAAAATATGAAATAAAATCTTAGGGACTTACATTTCAAAAGTAATTATTTCAAAGTGAGGAAAAAAGCTTCCACAAATTTATTCCAGGTGCAAACAAAATAACTTTTGATAGCTTTCTCAATGATGTACAGACCCTCATCAAGTCTCCACAAACTTTCAAATCACTCTTTGTAACTGAACATAGATTTGAATACAGGAAGTGGTGTGGATGTGTGTGTTTGTTATATATAAATTTTACTAACACTTGCAAAAGTACACAATGATGTAATATTTTTAATTAAAACCTTCAGTTGGCTAGAAAACAGACAGCAAGAGTCACGTTCTTTTTATACACTTCAGAGCAATAGCAAAGCTGCCTATTAGAAGAACAGATGCTGATGCTACAAATATCTTTTTACTCCAGTCATTTCCTCCTCCACACAAGGCACTTTCAGGACATCTATGATGAGTTCACAATTGTTCAGTGCTCTTCCCATTTTAAGTGAAGACAAGTGTCAAAAAACAAGCTAAGAAAGAAACATACTAAAAATAGTCTAAATCTCTATGGGGATCCCTGAAGACCTATATATGCCTAATATTGCTCATAATTCCATGATATTAAACAAGAAAAGACGTTTAGAAAATTTAGCCTGTAGGTCTTTATAGGACTAGGATATTCTTCGAAAGACAATTTTATAATACTCTACAAGAAAATCACAGAATCACAGAATCACAGAATTGTAGGGGTTGGAAGGGACCTCCAGAAATCATCGAGTCCAACCCCCCTGCCAAAGCAGGTTCCCTACAGCAGGTCGCACAGGTAGGCATCCAGGCAGGTCTTGAACATCTCCAGAGAAGGAGACTCCACCACCTCCCTGGGCAGCCTGTTCCAGTGCTCCGTCACCTCACTGTAAAGAAGTTCTTGTGCACATTTGTGCAGAACTTCCTATGCTGCAGTTTCCAGCCGTTTCCCCTTGTCCTGTCTCCACTCACCACTGAAAACAGTCCAGCCTCGCCATTCTGCCCCCCACACCTTAGATATTTATAGACCTGGATCAGGTCCCCTCTCATTCTTCTTTTCTCAAGGCTGAAAATAATGCTTTTGTGAACGAAAATGCTGTAAGTCAAAGACTGACGTTTAGAAGACGTCTTATTCATTTCTCTCATTTTTTCCTGCATTACTTTCTACATCAATACCTTCCTTCTGATTTCAAGACCAGACCATGACAAAAAAAAAAAAAATCAACAATTTTGCAAAAAAAAATCAACAATTTTGCATGAATTAGTTAACATTACACAGCTGAATAAACTTCAAACTACTAATATTTATGGAGAAGAATTTTAATAGCTATTTTAATTGATGATGTCAGTGTAAATCTGTTTATAATAAATATTCATGATTAACATAACAGTATCGTTAACATAAAAGTCATTTATTGTTAACATTTACAAGATTCACATCAATTTTAAAACAACTTCATTTCTAACTTAATACTCGTCAACTTTGATTATGCCTTAGCACAAAAATACTACTTGCAAATTTCTGCCCTAATTTTGTTATTGCCACATTTTATCTACCTGTTTTCACGCTCATACATCTCTTTCGAAGCACTTCGAAGTTGCTCAATTTCTTGATTTGTTTTCAGTCTTATTTGTTCCAATTCCTCATGCAATCTCTTCTCAAATTCTGTTTTGTAGTGGTCCCTGTAAATAAACACATGACAGAGGAATGTAAAATGAATTGTATGGCCAAAATATCAAAGCATCTGGTACAGCAGTACAAGCGTATTTTACAATTTAATATTTTGATTCTTACTTGTTTTCCTGGTTGGAATACATACCAGCCTATATTGCTCTGTAAATCTACTGAAAATTTTACCAGGAATAACAGCTTTCTGCAAACTGTAAAATATATAAGTAATTTGACATTGATTCATCATGCAATTTAACACTAACCATTTTTGTATAGGGAGGCAAAGAATTTCTGCAAGTGTTCATATTAATTAACCACTGAAAATGTTTTTAATTCCTCATTTTGCAAAATTTTCTGGTTTCTACATCAGTAGGAAGGGTAAATTAACTTAGTAACTCAGAATACTTCCAAGCTACAACACAATATTGATGTGTACTATCTGCACGTCTCATCTGAGTGTGAACATCGCAAGAAACTTTGAAGATTACATGCTGTAGACATTTGTGAAATAAAGCAGGAAAAAAAAAAAAAGATTTGAGTACTCATCCTGTCAATGTCACAAATAAATTACCTGAAATAAATATTTAAGCTTTTAAGCAGAAGATATTAAAAGATTCCAAATTACTTCATTTCAGATTAACATTGTCATCTTCCTTTTTTGTAAATTTGGAAGTTCACATGAGAATGGATAAAACCCCATACAGAATTGCTCTTACAAAACTATAAAGGCTTGTACTGTAGGGTAGTGTGGTTAGGTTGTGGTTGTACTTGATGGTCTTGAAGATCTTTTCCAATGCGAGCAATGCTATGACTCTATCTAACAACTAAAGGGATGTTAATTTCTATAGCATTCAGCTGCTATTCAAGAATAATCAATCCGCAGTGAAGCCACTGTTAGACATTGCAGGTCTGGAAACAGATAAGCTTTTATTATTTTTGTTATATTAAACACGCATTTACAACCATAAAGTATTTTGATTCTAGGATTTGCCGTATGGCTTGTACTTGTTAGAAACCAGTACCTGAGTTCACAAAAAACTCCTTTGCATTAAACAAAAGCTGAAATCATTTACTTATTTTAGAATGCATGCTCTTCAAGTTTTCTTGTTTGCTTTTTAATAAAACACAGAATTTTTGTTGACTTTTCAAAGCAAAAGTAAATATTTCTCCCTTCCTTCCTCGAGTGTACCACTCTTTAGCAAGGTATTTTGTGAAGGTCTTTGATACAGTGAAATAGTTAATGATCCCAAAAAACACATTATACTGGAATGTAAGGTCCCCGCTAGCAATTTTTTTTAGTTCTTCATGTACTGTACATTTCAGTACATACAAAATAAATGAATGGCGAAGGCCATTCAGAATCTCAAGATACAACTCATACAGAATTAACTAGCATTATTTTCTTGGTACTTGGATGACAATGACTTGCTATTAGTATTACTACTTGCTATTACCATAGCTACTTACTATTTCTATAGGTGAAGAAATTAAGACTTTCCCTCCTGTGGCAAGACTTTAAAGTCGCCCTATAGCTGATAATTTCAGTACAGTGCTCTTAAATGCCCATTTAGAAAACAAAGTTTTTTAGTAGTTACAGGAGAATCACATTAAGAACACATCAAGTAAGTTTTAAGTATTACAAGGATACAAGATTTATAGATTTATACAAGTTTGCAGTTACACCTTGCGGTTCAAACAAAAGGATGCAACTGAAGGAAATCTGAACTGGCTTAATTCTCTTAAGCTCAAGAGGATGTTCATTTAATCAACTGGTGTTTGTCACTCTGCAGAGAGGTACTGTGGGTGGAGCTGCACTGCTCAGGTGGAAGGTCAGCTCACAGTGGTGGCTGAGCTCAAGGAGAAGGTGGAGAGACTAAGGAGCTTCAGGGCATGTGAGCAGGAGATTGACTGGTGGAGTAACTCCCTAGTGTGCCAGAGGGAAGGGCGCTGGGAGGATGCCCCCCACAGTGCAGTGGAACCCTTGTCCTGTTGCACTGAGGTAGGGGACCAAAAAGACAAGGAGCGCTGGAAGCAAGTCCCAGTTTGGCATCAGCGGCAACCCCCCTCTCCCCTCTTACTCCCTGTCTCGCTTTCCCAGGTGCCCCTCCATAACAGATTTGAGGCCCTGGATCTTGAAGGAGGAGTAGAATGATAAAATAATGAAAACAGAAGTAATGAATAGTTGGCTTAGAGGCTGGTATCGAGGCAGGAACTTTGGGGACAGTTTACTCAGCCCCTGGCCTGTTGTCCATGGATGGAACTCACCTGTCTCAAAGGGATAAACAAATTCTAGTCAGCAGCTAGCAGGGCTTATCAAGAGAGCTTTACATTAGCTAAGTTGGGGGAAAAGGACAAAACAGAGCTCACCAGAGATGAACCTAATGAAACAATACTGGATCTGGAGGTGAGGCAGATGTCTCAGCTGAAGTGCATCCACAACAATGCACACAGCATGGGCAACAAGCAGGAGGAGCTGGAAGCAATTGTGCTGCAGGCTAATTATGATCTCATTGCTATTACTGAAACATGGTGGGACCACTCTCATGACTGTGATGGATGGTTAAAAGCTCTCCAGAAGGGATAGACAAAGAAGGAAGGGTGGTGGCGTGGCCATTTTATATTAAAGAGTGTTTTGATGTTGAAGAGCTTGGGGTTGGGAATGATAAAGTTGAGTGTCCATGGATATAGAACAGGGAGAAGGCCTGTAGGGCGACATCTTGGTGGGGGTCTGTTGTAGACCACCTAATGAGGATTAAGAGAAGGACGAGGCATTCTATGAGCAGCTTGCCGAAGCTGAACAACCCCAGAACTCGTTCTCATGGGAGACTTCAACTTCACTGATATATGTTAGAAATATAATAAAGTGCAGAGGAAGCAGTCCAAAACGTTTCTAGAGTGTGTGGCAGATAGCCTCCTTACACAGCTGGTATGAGAGCCTACCAGGGTGGTGCCCTGCTAGACTTGTTCTTTACTAACAGAGAAGGACTGATGGGAGCTGTGAAGGCTGGGGACTTGTAAGATATTACTCTGTTAACATCTGTGTCTCAAAGCTTGCTGGGGACACAGATGGACTTGTTCAAGTCCCAAGCAAGGATTGTAAAATCCTTTGTCTGAAGGATACACATGAACAAGTCCAGGCAAGTCCTGGGCAAAGGTTGTGAGATCCTTTGGGGGACGCAGATGGACAAGGCCAGGGGCAACGAGAGTGAGATGAACTGCAGCTAAATAGCTGAGAAGTGCTTCTTTGTGTGGACCTATCTCAGGATGATGGCCATCTCAGGGGGTACTCAATGACTCTTGCTCAAGGCCCATCCTTGTCACGTAGGCAGGAGAACAAGGAGGATAAAAGAGGAACTAAAAACCATGAGGATAGGTTTCTGACAACAGATTCCTCATGAAGAACGGAGGATTTCTGGCAGCAGATTCCTCCTGAAGAAGAAGAGGGATTCCTGATGATCAGATTCCTCATGATGTGACTCCTGCATGCTGTCGAACTCTCCTGTGCCTACTGCCTGAGTGCTGCTGCAGCAGTTTCAAGTATTGGCTCCTCAACTTCTTCGTCTACCTGCCCGCTGCCCAAGGCCGGCCACACTGCTACTCCCCGTCCCCCTGCTGCGTCTGCCTGGGACCATTAAATGCCGTGCAACGGGACGCTGCTGGATCCTGCTGGTGACTATCCCCACTTTACGCAACTCCTGCTTCTTTCCCATCTTTTCTATCTCCCTCCTTCCCGTCCCCGTCTCCCTGATTAGGTTTGGTAATAAACTGGATGGAACAACATATGAACCGTTGTTTCTTAATCTCACGCCGTTGTACAGATATTAAAAGAACCTCATCTCCCTCCTATAAATTGGAGCGAGACAGGACTGTCTTGGGCAGAGCGACCATGAAATTAAAGAGGTTGCTATTCTTGGAGATGTCAGAAGGATGACTGGCAGAACTGCTATCTTGAACTTCCAGAGGGTGGATTTTGACCTGTTCAGGATGCTTGCTGCAGGGGTCCCTTGGGAGTCGCTCCTTAAAGGTAAAGGGGTCCTTGGATGCTCTTCAAGATGGAAATCTTAAAGACACAAGAACAGGCTGTCCCTGAGTGCTGTAAGGCAAGCCATAGTGGAAGAAGACTGGTGTGGATGAGCTGGGAACTATTGTTGAGACTGAGAAAAATACTCTACATCTCAGAGAATCCCAGTCTCTGGAAGAAGGAACAGGCTACTTGGGGAGACTACAAAAAAGTTGTGATGGTATGCAGGAAATTAGGCAAAAGCCCAGCTTGAACTCAGATTGGCCACTGCAGAGAAAGAGAACAACAAATCCTCTTATAAATATATTAACAGAAAGAGAAGAACCATGGAGAATTTCCATCCCTTACTAGACGCAGCAGCAAATGTGACCACTGTGGATAAGGAAAAGGCTGAGGCACTCAACACTTTCTTTACATCTGCCTTTGAGACTCACATCAGTTATCCTCAGGGCACCTTGTTTGCAGAATATGCCCCTGGCGATTCAGGTGGAGACAGTTAGAAAACTCCTCCTCCATCTGGACTGTCACAAGTCCATGGGACCAGACAGGCTCCACCCTCAGGTGCTGAGGGAGCTGGCAGGGGTGATTGCTGAGCCCCTTTCCACCATCTATCAGCACTCCTGGTTGTCTGGAGAGGTCTCAGTGGATTGGAGGCTTGCCAATGTGAATCCCATCTACAGTAAGGGTCATAAGGAGGATCTGGGGAACTACAGGCTTGTCAGTCTAACCTCGGTACCAGGGAAAGTTATGGAGCAAATCACCTTGGGTGAGATCACACAGCACGTGCATAGTGTCCAGGCGATCAGGCCCAGCCAGCACAGGTTCGTGAAAGGCAGGTCATGCTTGAGCAACCTCATCTCCATCTACAACTGGGTGAACAGACTGGTAGACGAGGGAAAGGCTGTTGATGTAGTCTACCTAGAATTCAGCAAAGCCTTTGATACGGTCTCTTACAGTATTCTTCTGGGGAAACTGGCTGCCTGTGGCCTGGACAGGTATACCCTTCTTTGGGTAAGGAACTGCCTAGAGGGCCATGCCCAGAGGGTAGTAGTTAATGGAGTTAAGTCCAGCTGGTGACCCGTTAGGTACAAGTGGTGTCCCCCAGGGGTCTGTACTGGGGCCCATCTTGTCTTTATTGATGAGGGGATCAAGTGTACCCTCGATACGTTTGCAGATGACACCAAGCTGGGAGGTAGTGTTGATCTGCCTGAGGGTAGAGAGGCCCTTCAGAGGGATCTGGATAGGCTGGATCGCTGGGCTGACGTGAATGGGATGAGGTTCAACAAGGCCAAGTGCCGGGTCCTGCAATTTGGCCACAACAACCCCAGGCAGCGCTATCAGGCTTGGGGCTGAGTGGCTGGGTGCCTGTGAAGAGGAAAGGGACCTGGGGGTGTTGGTTGATGCTCAACTGAACATGATCCAGCCCTGGTGGCCAAGAAGGCCAATGCCATTCTGGCCTGCATCAGAAATAGTGTGGCCAGCAGGAGCAGGGAGGTGATCATCCCCCTGTACTCAGCACTGGTGAGGCCGCACCTTCAGTGCTGTGTTCAGTTTTGAGCTCCTCAGTGCAAGAACGACATCAAGGCCCTGGAACGTTTCCAGAGAAGGGCAACAAAACTGGGAGAGGTCTGGAGCACAGGTCTTACTGGAGAACGGCTACAGGAGCTGGGATTGTTCAGTCTGGAGAAGAGGAGGCCTCATCATACTCTGTAACTGCCTGAAGGGAGGTTGCGATGAGGAGGGATTTGGCCTCTTCTCTCAGGACAACAAACAGGACCCGAGGAAAAGGCAACAAGTTGTGCCATGGGAGATTTAGATTAGATATAAGGGAAAACTTGTTCTCTGAAAGAGTGGTCAAGCGCTGGAATAGCCTGCCCAGGGAAGTGGTGGAGTCACTGTCCCTGGTACTGTTCAGCAGGCATCTGGATGAGGTGCTACGAGATATGGTTTAGTAGCTTAGTGGGTAGTAACGTTGATACAGGAGGAGGAGGACAGTTGGACAAAATGATTTTGTAAGTCCTTTCCAACCTTGTGATTCTATGATTCTGTATATTCTAAGATATTTTTTTATGTTCTAAGTATATTGCTGACTATTAACAAAGTACATATAGGCAAATATCTAATGTCATTTGGGGGTAAATTTGAAAGTCTTATTTATCATCTGTACGTAAGGAAATTACATGAATTTAATAACCATGAATTCTGTGTAAGAAAAAACTTAGTATGATTAGAAATTCTGTTGTATAGCACTATACATGAAGCAAGACATTGCTAAATAACGTAGAATTTTCTACTTGACATTGTATACACAGACCTACAGCAATTGAAATAACACAAAAGCTTGACACTGTTTACCATTGTGGCTAGCACAGAATGACCAATTTGTTTCTCAAGTCTACTATTAGATTATCTGCATTCAAACTTGAGAAATGAATGACACAGAGCTGATACGAAACATACCACTTCCAATTTTACTTGTTTGTGAAAATATTTTATTCTCCAAATTAGATTATCTTTCATATACTAGTTTTTTTCATTCATTATCTTTCATTTACTAGTTTTAGTAAGATTCATTTGGGCAAAAAAAGAGCTGCAACATAGGCACTTAGAATCACTTTTCTGTTTTGCAATTAACGTTACCTTAGTAAATCTTTATCTATACAGAAGAATACAGATATTTTCAGTGCTATGGAGTCTCATATCAATTTTTTAAGAAATAAATAGTTGATAAACCAAGAAAAGTTCTTTTTCCAGTTACACAAATATGGAACCAATACACAACTTCTGGAAGCTGAAAAATTTTAAACAGGGTTTGTGCGAGAAACAAGGCAAAACAGTTGAACATATCTGACTACTGATAGAACTGAACGCAGAACTTACCTGGATGCAATATATTTTTCATACATTTCTTCTCTAGCTTTTTTGGCATCCTCCAACTGAATCTGAAGCCTTTCAAGACGATCTTCTTCATGTGCACGGCGAACACTAAGCTCCATGTTCTGGCGATTAAGGTAATCTTTATCTTTTTGCAAGAGGTTGAGGGATTGTTGTATGGTTGCCAGCTATAAATTAAAAATAACACTGTCACATGAACTTAAAGATAAATATTTAACCAATATACATGTACATAGTTTTTCATTATAATTATCTTTCGTAAATCAATTGAACTGAGAAAAACTATACTTATAATTACAGTTAACGTAAGTTGCAACCCTGTGTTGAAAAAAAAAAGACTTCAATTTTATGAATTTTCATGATTGATTTCTCATAGTTGTCCCCTGAAAAGATGTGAAGTGTCCTTTAATATTCCTGAGTATCTACTAACCGTGAGGTAACTAAGCAGTGATAGTACTAAATCAGAAATTACAGATACTGAATTTGAGTCCTGATGTGAATCCAGTCATACCGGCTACAACACTCTCAAAATTTCTCCTCCTCTGGAATACTTGCTGTGTAAACAAAATTGTACACTCTCTTCGTGTTTCCTGAGAAGATTTCTATACATAAACCCAGCTTAAAAACTGGTCTCATTTTTACATGGAAGATGCACTGAGTTGCATTAAACCATCCAAAAATTAGACAACTGTAATAAAAATCAAATAACTTGTTTCTTGGGATTCAGTAAAAACTCTCTCACTCCAGAAAAGCTGTTGTAAAATTACATCTACCCAGATAAAAATAAAAATTAGTAATGCAGAGAGTTTTGGATGATTCACTCCTAACTAGCTTAAGATAAAAAACTAATACTGGAGGTTTAGTGAAGAAATCTTCCCCATAAACAATCTAGATGCAGAAATAGTGATAATGGATACTGAGTAACGGAAGCTTGTACTAGAATAAACTATCAAAATCCAATAGATCAAGGTAGCAGATTTGGAAACATTGCAAACGTGTCTAAGTCCTTTGAATCTGAAGCGCTCAACAGGGAGCCATCACTGAATCACTGTGACTGCTGAATAAATGAGGTGACAAACAAGACAAAAAAATAGGAAGTTTAATGTTTACCTCCTTTGATAAATCACTTCTTTCTTTAGCTTGTGCTTTATGTGAAATTTCCAGTATTTCGTATTTTCTTCTGAGTTCTGACAATTCATGTTCAAATACATCTCGTTCACTGTGAAAAGAAGGTAAAATGTGTAAGATGTAATGAATAAGAATCTTCTTCATTCTTAATTTCTTTAACTTCTTTCAGTTCATAACAGTGAATTCCGCCACTAATGATAATCTTTCTTAGTTACTAGCTCTTGCAATTGAATCATATTATAGGAAAGAATTTTCTTACATATTTGAACAATAATCCTTAATTACAGTAGAGTAATTCTGAATTTCTATCCTAAATTATTTCATTCACTTCTGATTATTCTTCTTTAGTGTAACTTTGGATTGTTCAGTTCTCCAATTAGCAATGAGTTTTACACAATCTTGCCCAACCTTTTCATTTTCTCAAGTTTTTAACGCTATTTCTCTTGAATCTTTCATAGACATTGAATTTGCATGAAGACATTTGTCTGATTAGACCCTAGTCTTCATCCTATTCAGAAATCTAATCAGACAGAAAGCGGAGTAGAATTGTTTTCATCTTCTTTCTCTTGTACACAGTCACTTGATGCCAGCGGGAGTTGTACTATTCTTCTCACATTAAAAATTCATACAATACACTTGCAAAGTTTATGCTGTGTCCTCAATAACGGTGATTTCCATATGTACAAAGAAGCAGCTTTATGTCACCACTATATCTTATCCTGTCAGAACAATGGAATGAATGAGCCAGCATAAGTCTGCAGTTTGGAAAAAAAATCTCACCAGCTTTGTATTACACACAGCATAGTTTTAAAACTAAGATAACTTGTAGTACACAAGAACCAGAAGATTTAACAAAATTTTTAAAGGCAGAAATGAGTCTGGAAGTGATTAACTCCTGCAATGCTCTCAAATATCCTGATGCAGGCATACCAATAATGCTCTACCCCTCCCCTTCGTCTGTGCCTACCTAGATGAATACAGCCTACTCTCTCAAATACAGGTCTGGCACGTTCATTCATGCCTTTTTCAACTCAAGACTTATTTTAAATGTACACTGTTAAACACTGGGTCCTTTCACAAGCAAGTTATTACAATTCATTTAATAAGATGCAGTTGCACACAGGAAGCAAACCATAGCATCAATCCATCCTATTTGCAACAAGCTTCCAGGTAGATTCCAAGGTTATTTTAGTATATATGGTTGTGAACAGTTATCCATAAGACAGACTCTCTTTCAGATGGGTTAGTGGCACAGTCATTTGTTTCAGTAACAGTATTTGACCTTATTCAACATGAACAAGGAACTGACAGAGTGTTTTCTATTCACCAATCTCATTTTTTAATCCATTTCCCAACAAATCTACCAAGGGCCAGATTTCTTGTAAGTACACTGAAAAAGCCATCAAGGAGCTGGACTGTGAACTACATGTCTATGAGAATATTTATAAAGAAGTTCATTTTCACTCTTTTGCTTATGATGTGGGCATTCAAAGCACAGGCAAGAACTTGTTTTTTTTTTAAACAAAGAGAGACACTTGAAAGTTATACTAAGATTCTCTGGCAAGTAGAATTTTAGAATCTGACCTATAAAAATCCTTCAACATGGTTAACAACCAGAAATCTTAACATTTAAGTTTTCAAACGTGAATTCCCAAGGTTCTACTCTCTATTTACTGTGCAATCACACTTCAGTTAAGCACTGGGCCTTCTATTAATTGATAGCTTTTAAACTCTGAAAAAAAATATATTAGTTTTAACATGTTTAATATCAGGAGCTCCCATGTCTTTATATGCAATGCAACTAACAGGCTTTTCTGAAAATACAGTAAATTGAAGAATGTAAGCTTTCAGATTGAAGATGTAAACTTTAATTTGATGCATCAGATTCTGTAGCGTTTTTCATTTTATTCTACAAGAGACAATTGGGCCATTAGTGGATAGAAGAAAAATGAGATACATATGAGCAAAAAAAAGATCATGAAATGGAACTTCAATCCTGACGGACAAAACTAGAGTATTCTATTAATATTTGCATGTTAGTAGGAAACTTCTAGAGATTTTAGAGACCTACCATTTCACTTTATCATAGTTCTCTTGTCTGAAATCACCTTGCTGAATCATCTGCTTGGTATCAGCCAGTTCCAGTATTAAGCGTTGGCATTTAACCTCAAGTTCTGACCGACTTCGCCTCTCGTTTTCATAGTTCTAGAAGGCAAGACATTTTAAAATGAGCACAGCTTCATTGATAATTACTTAAAACACTCATGGACTGAAGTTTGAGAAGTCCACTTACAAATATTCAGATGGTACTATTTCCATTTTTCTAAGTATTTGGACATCTAGCATAGTTGATTAATATATGTATTTTTTCCTAACAATTCCTAAGGCTTTTGTCCACTAGCCCACCTTTGTAGCCCACTAGTAGCCTTCGTATACAGTACAGGTTGTACACTATGTTATGGGACAGAAGTCATACTACTGTTACAACATTTTAAAGCCAGTATGCTTGTGAAGATACTTGCTGGTCTATTTGAAAAAGAAGAAAGACATTTGATGATTCAGAAACTTCCAGAAAAAAAAATAATCAGCCAAATCCCAAATTTAATCTGGTAATTGATATTTGTTTGTCAATCATAGATATGGTGGAAGAAAAAAAAAAAACAAAAAAAAAAAGAAGGGGAAAAAGAAGTGCTTATTCCACTCCCACAGTAATTCATTGTCCCCTTTTAATCCTGAAGATATCTTAAGACAGTGTTATGGGAACTAGAAAATTGGATCCAAGAGAACACACAGAAAAAAAAACTTTTAAAACATTGGCTATCCATTATGGAGATTCCTTACCCACTGTACTTTTAGAATCATAGAATCAAAGAATCACCAGTGTTGGAAAAGACCCACAGGTTCATCCAGTCCAACCATTCACCTATCACCAATAGCACTCACTAAACCATATCCCTCAACACAATGTCCAAATGTTCCCTGAACGCCTCCAGGGTCGGTGATTCCACCACCTCCTTGGGCAGCCCATTCCAGTGCCTGATCACTCTTTCAGAGAAGTAGTATTTCCTAAGGTGCAGCCTAAATCTCCCCTGGCACAGCTTGAAGCCATTCCCTCTAGCCCTATTGCTAGTTACATGAGAGAAGAGGCCAACCCCCAGCTCACTACAACCTCCCTTCAGGTAGTTATAGAGAGCAACGAGGTCTCCCCTGAGCCTCCTCTTCTCCAGACTGAACAATCCCAGCTCCTTCAGCCACTCCTCATATGGCCTGTGCTCCAGACCCCTCACAAGCCCTTCTCTGAATACAGTCCAGGGCCTCAATGTCTTTCTTGCTGTGAGGGGCCCAAAACTGGACATTGTACTCAAGGTGCTGCCTCACCAGTGCCTCTGAGTACAGGGGAACAATCACTTCCCTGTTCCTGCTGGCAACACTATTTTGATGCAAACCAGGATGCCATTGGCCTTCTTGGCCACCTGGGCACACTGCTGGCTCATGTTCAGCCAAGCATCAATCAATAACCCCAAGTCCGTTTCCTCTACGCAGTCTCCCAGCCACTCACCCTCAAGCCTGTAGCATTGCCTGGGGTTCCTAAGGCCAAAGCGCAGGACCCGGCATTTAGTCGTGTTGAACCTCATCCCATTGGCTTCAGCCCAGCTCTCCAGCCTGTCCAGATTCCTCTGTAGGGCCTCCCTACCCCAGGCAGATTGACACTTCCAGCCAACTTGGTGTCATCTGCAAACTTACTGAGGGTGCACTCAGTGTCCTCACCCAGATCATCAATAAAGATATTGAAGAGGACAGGCCCCAGCATCGACCCCTAGGGAACACAATTCATGACTGGTCGCCAGCTAGATTTAACTCTATTCGTAACCACTCTCTGGGCTCAGCTCTCCAGCCAGTTCCTTATGGTACCTGTCCCAGCCATGGGCTGCAGCTTCTGCAGGAGAATACTGAGGCAGAGACTGTGGGAGGCCTTGCTGAAGTTAAGGCAGATCACATCAACAGCCTTTCCCTCACCATCCAGGCGGGTCACTCCATCATAGAAGATCGGGTTGGTCAAGCAGGCCCTGCCCTTCATAAATCCATGCTGGCTGGGCTTGATCCCCTGGTTGCCTCACACATACTGTGTAATCTCACTCAAGATGATCTGCTCCATAACCACTCCTGGCACCAAAGTCATGCTGACAGGCTGTAGGACCCCAGATCCTCCTTACAGTCCTTTTTGTAGAAAAGTCAGATCGGCAAGTCTTCTGTCTTCTGAGATGTCCCCAGCTGACCAGGAATGCTAACAGATGATGGAAAGCGGCTTGACTATCATCTCTCCCAGTTCCCTCAGCACTTTTGGATGGATCTCATCCAGCTCCACGGACTTGTGGCAGTCCACATGGAATAGTAGGCCTCTGACTGCTTCCTCCTGAATCACGGGGGATTTATTTCTCTTTCCATCCGAGACTTCCAGGTCAGAGAGTTCTGGGCCTCCTGTCCAGACTCATTTGCATATAACTCAGCCCAGCCATACACGGCAACAGAATTGATGGATTTAGTACAGCGATTTCAGCAGAAGCCTAGAGAAAATGTGCCAGCTTGGTTATTAAGACTGTGAAATTCTGGGGCAGAAAGCATTATGGAGAATGGCCTGGAAATATCCAAGTTGGCCATCTTGACTGTCCATCCTGCCCTTAGGCAGAGGTTATATGTAGGTATTCAATATCTTAATGAAAAACATTCTATAATAGAATGGTTAATGACAGCCTGCTCTATGGTATGGCCGAATAAATCCGATATACCTCTACATATAGGGATGTGGTCCTCCATGGAGGATCTTCAAAATTATATCTGCGAACTAGGCATAAGGGAAGCAATTTATGAAGTTACATCTGATGGCCCTGATATGGACAAATTCTCAAATTTATTGGTCCTGAAAAAATATTCAAAGTTATGGCGTTGGTGGACACTGGAACCGAAACATCAATTATTTACAGAGATCTGAGGAAATCTGATGGAGACAGAGTGATGATTGGTGGTTTTGGAGGAGAGACTATTCCTGTCACCCAAGCATGGTAGAAATTGGGGGTTGGGCATCTCCCACCCCGGGAGTATAAAGTGTCTATTGCCTCAGTCCAGGAATACATCATGGGCATAGATATTCTGTAGGATCTGGCTCTCCAGACAACTGTGGGAGAGTTCAGACTTAGAGATGTATTAGTATCCAGACGGTGCAGGCAATATTAAGAGACCATGCGAAACACGGGCCTATTTACCTGCCATATAATTCCCCCATATGGCCAGCGCGAAAGTCGGATGGCACGTGGAGAATGACAGTGGATTACAGAGAATTAAATAAGGTCATGCTGCCTATTCATCCAGCTGTACCCAATATTGCTTCCCTAATGGACACATTAAGTAGGGAGGTAAAAACCTACCGTTGTGTCCTAGATCTAGCAAATGCGTTCTTCAGTATCCCAATTGCTGAAGAATCGCAAGATCAGTTTGTGTTTACGTGGAGAGGCAGGCCGTGGACCTTTCAGATCCTGCCACAAGGGTATGTGCATTTGCCGACATACTGTCATAATCTAGCGGCGTGTGACCTGGCTAATTAGAAAACAACTGATGATGTTATCTTATATCACGATACTGATTTTCTCCTGTTGACATCAGACTCGCTGGAGGCAGTAGGACAGGCAGCAGATTCATTAACTGTCTATTTGCAACAGAGAGGATGGGCCATAAATCCTCAGAAGGTGCAAGGTCTGGGCCTGTCCGTAAAAGTCCTGGGAGTGGTTTGGTCAGGAAAGATCAAAGTATTACCCAGTGCTGTCATAGATGAGGTTCGGGCGTTCCCAGTCCTTCCAACACCAAAGCAGCTGCAAGAGTTTCTAGGTATATTGGGTTACTGGCGTTCCTTTATATCTCGCCTAGTTCAGCTGCTAAGGCCATTGTACAGACTCACAAAAAGGGGCAGCTAATGGGACTGGGGGAAAACAGAACAGGACGCTTTCCAACAGGCAAAACTGGCAGTTAAACAAGCCCAGGCATTGGATATATTTGATCCTATCCTCCCAGACGAGTTGGACGTTGACGTTACTCAAAATGGCTTTGGTTGGGGCCTGTGGCAACACCAGAGTTCTGTTCAGACCCCCATTGGTTTCTGGCATCAGGTCTGGCATGGAGCAGAAGAAAGATATATGATGACTGAGAAACAGTTACTGGCTGCCTATTTGGCATTACAGGCAGTAGAGCTGATAACTCAAACAGCTGAAATCATAGTTAAGACCGCTCTGCCGATTCATGGGCAGGTGAAAGATCTGACCCACCTTCCTAAGATAGGGGTGGCCCAAGCACAAACAGTGGCACGATGGGTCACCTACTTCAGCCAAAGGAGTAGTCTGTCCTCATCATCATTAAAAGAAGAACTTCAGAAGATCCTAGGCCCAGTGACATATCACTGTGATGCACCAAAAGAAACATTGGTCGCTCCACCAGAGAAGAGTCCCGTTCAGGAGGGAAAATATCCTATCCTGAAGATGCCTGCAGATGGGCAGAACTGCAAGCTGTGTGGATGGTTATAACCAAGCAACCCAGCGATGGTATCCTGAATATCGGTACACATAGTTGGGCTGTATACCAGGGGCTCACTCTTTGGATTACACAGTGGGCCACCCAGAATGGACTATCCATGCCCGACCAATCTGGGGCAAAGACATATGGTTAAACACATGGAATGCCGTTAAATACAGGACTGTATGTGTCTACCATGTTTCTGGTCGGTCATCAGCCCATACAGTCACCGGGAAATGATGAAGCTGACACGCTGGCCCAAGTTTGATGGATTGAGAATTCACAATCTGAGAACATCACCAGAAGTTACGGCATGCGGGACAAAAGACAATGTGGGAAGCTGCTAAAGCATGGGGACTGCCCATACAACTACCTGACATCATTCAGGCATGCCGGGATTGCAACTCTTGCTCTAAGATGAGACCGAGATCGTTGACTGAAACAACAGCCCATCTTGCTATAGGATACAATCCTCTCCAGCAATGGCAGGTTGATTACATCGGGACCCCTCCCTCAGTCTGAGGAAGGAGATATGCCCTGACCTGCGTTGACCTGGGCTACTGCAAGCCTATCCAGTACCAAAACCAAACCAGGCATATACTATCAAGGCACTTATTAAACTGATGCCTAACTATGGGACACCTCAA